AGCCCCCGCCCAGCTGCCATCTTCACCCTATGTCATGTTTTTCAGCGATGATGGAGGAGTCGAAGCTGACACATTTGCAGAGGCAATACCTGATGGAGTGTGTGAAACGTGAGTGGTGGCCCTCTTGCTGCCCTGCTGTGGTGAGGAGCTTTTGCAGCTCACCTTGAGACAGGGGCACTGGCCCACTGCCTGTGTGGATGGGCCCGTGCTGTAAAACAGCAGCAAGGCCCTTGCCAGCACACGGGGTGAAGGGTCCCCGTGGTCATCCAGGGAACATGATGCAGTGGTGAGGCCTGGGCCAGAGCCTGTGTGGTGTCAGCACACACCAGCAACCAGGGTGACACGGGGTCTTCACAAGTGGTGCTGCAGTGGATCAATAGGCAGATGTTCTGCTGGCAGTGGTCCAGGGCCATCCATCCATCCATCCATCCATCCTCTCTGACTTAACATTGGTTTTGGTTTGTTCTCCAGGAGGAGATACCCTGCCCCTCCAGTGCCACCCCAAACCCAGCAAAGAGACAGTACCTGCTTCCTCCCCACCGGCTCATCAGCGGAGCAGGCTTTCTGCTAAACCCCATCTCCGACCTGCCAGCGTCTGCCAGGCAGGAGATTCCTACATCCGAGAGAAATTCAAGCCACAGGCAAGGCGTAAGTTGGCAAATGTGGCTAATAAATAAATGGTGCCACCCAGTCCCTCCCTTCCCCTTTCATCCACCCCCTACCAGCAGTCTCAGCAGTGGCAGTAGGGATCTGTTCATCTTCACACTTTAGAAATGGATCTCTGAGGGAAAATCTATGGTAAGTGCTTGCTGACATCTGCCTGTGGCTGGTGGGTGACAGGTAATGACGGAGAATGGTTTTAAACTGAAGGAAGGTAGGTTTAGATTAGACATTAGGAAGAAATCTTCCCTGTGAGGGTGGTGATGCTCTGGCACAGGTTGCCCAGAGAAGCTGTGGCTGCCCCATCCCTGGCAGTGTTCAAGGCCAGGTTGGACAGGGCTTGGAGCAACCTGGTCCAGTGGAAGGTGTCCCTGCCCATGGCAGGGGCCTGGAACTGGGGGGGAGCTTTAAAGTCCCTTCCAACCCAAACCTTTGTATGATTCTGTGACTCGCACAGTCCCTGCATAAGATGGGAGCACTGTGCCATTTTCGAGCTTGTGAATGAAACCCCTGAGGACAGCCTGGCTGGCTCTGTATGCCTGTGCAGCGCTCCTGCAGTTCAGCCTGACCTTAACATAAATGCTGCCTCTGGTGCCCTTAGCAGGGAAGCGCTGTGGCCAGGCTCCTCTGTGAGGAAACAGGCTGATGAGCATTTTTTAACCCTTGGCTTTCACAGGAGATTTGGAAAAGGAGAAGCAAAGGCTTCAAAACATCTTAGCAACAGGGAAGGATGTGGTGGAGCACAAGGTGAAGCCAGTGGTGGTTCAGACCAAGGAAGAGGAGATCCCTGAGCCTGACCGGTTTGAAGAATGTATGTCTTGCTGTTCCCTGGAGGAAGGCAGGCGGGAGGCCTGGGAAGTGGGCTCCCTTCGAGGCTGGGCTGGCAGGCCGTGGGACTGGTAACATGAAGCCCATTGCTGAAGGAGGAACAAAGCCCAGTTTCCAAGAGCAAGGAAATGCTGCTGTGGTGCTGTGACCCAGACATCCTCAAAGAACTTACACTGCTGGTAGTTTCAAGCTCCCTTGGTTTGCAAGCCTCTTTGCAAACCTTGCAAGAGGTTTTCTGGCAGGTTCAAGCTCCTTGGGCTGCCAGGGAGTTCCCAAGGGATGTGCAGGGAGACCTGGGTGGGAAGCCCACATAAGGCCAGTCCTCCTTCCAGCCAGTGTAACTCAGCATAGGCTATGACACTCACCAGCCTGACCATGCTTTGGGCTGTTTTCTTTCACTCCAGCTGAAATGTTGAGCAGAATTTTAAGTAGTGATGGACTTCGGCCTGCAGAGTATTCTGGGATGGCAATACCCCTGCCTAATACCTCTCTGTGCTTGAATCTTCAGTGTGCGTGCACATCCCAGACAGCCCTTTGCTAGCTAGGGCAGCACAGATGCGGCCAACGCTAGGAGAACACCTACAAAAGGGATGCTTTAGTCCCAGCCATAGGGAAGCCAGTGTGTCTGGCTTCATGCCTGCCCTGTATCCTCTAGAACTTGTTGCAAGCTGAGCATCGTCCTTGGCACATCTGAAATACTCATGTGCTTTGTACTGTGGCAAGGTTTGGACCAGCTGGCTGCAGGTCTGTGCTGCAAAGCAACAGCTCATGTTTGTGTTTGTGCTAGTCCTGAGAGCAGAGATGGTTGCCATCACTGGGTGACGTGTGTCAACTAATGAACTTCAACAGCTTTGAGCAGGTTCTGTCTCCATCCACAGACTGGTTAAATTGTCCACAAGTAAGAGAGAATTGTTGGTACAAAGAAAACTAGAAAGTTCCCACTTTACATTGTATAAGGGACTACTGAGGTATTTTGGTGACATGAGCTAAATGGGCATTACAGCAGACATCACCCTTGCCCTGGTGGGACCACTGCTCAGACAGACCTCGGAAACTGGGGGTTCAGATCTAGGCAGAAACATGTTTTCTTGCCTTTCATCTGAATCCTGTTTCCAAAGTGTTTTCTCTTATCCATCAGTGGTGAATGAAATTCAGGAGAGAAGGGAGTTCCTGGCAGAGATGGAAGCTCTAGGACAGGGCAAGAAGTATCGAAGGATCATCCTCACTGAAATCTCACAGGTACATGAGGGTGCTGGTGGCTTTGGTTGTACAGTACATGATGTGAACCCCTAGTGTCAGAGACCTTAAAGCAGAGTATCTTCTGATACCTGAGTAGGTAAGTGGGCAGAGAATTGTTTCCCTGCATGGCACAGGACAGGCATGAATTTGGGGAATGGGGGCTAGAGGTTTTCAGGCTTTCTTTCCATCTCTGCATGTAACTTAATCAGGGGAATAGAACTTTTGTTCTTGGGATTGGCAAAAGAATTAAAAAAAACCAAAGCTTGCCAGCTTTCTCCCTGCTCAGCCCTTCCCCTTTGTGCTTTGCAGAAAATGCGTGAGATGGAGATCCTTGACAAGAAGAGAAGTGAGGAAATGAAAGAGATCATGACAAAAGACTTCCCTGGTGGGAACAAATCTGATGCCCATGACTAGGCCAAGGGAAAAACGCAAGTGTAATTTGTTCCCACCTTTTCTTCCCAGACTCCAAGTCTCAAGGGCTGGTCTGTGCCTGTACCCACAGAGGGGGCAGCACCTCCTGTTGCCTAATGCCAGAAGGCAGGAGAAAACTGGTGCCAGAAGAAAGCTGTTGTAAAATCCTGCCCTTGCACTGGATCCATTATTGCTCAGTGACATTAAAGAGATGAAAACACACAATGGTGGCTACCAAATATGAGAAAGCTGCACCTCCTTTTGCCTATGGTATGCCTTAAAGCATGGCAATCCATCGATAGTCAGTCACTCCTTTCCATCCACCCAGAGGTGGAGGTTTCTTGCAACAGCACAATGCTAACACATGTATTGCCACCCACATTATGACCTGCTCCTGCCCCCACAACTGGGAATGGCTCTGGGGAAGGAAGATGCAGCTGTGTGGCCCTGTGCAAACACTATCTTCCAGCATTGATGCAGGTCAGTGTGATTGTGTGCGTCAGCAAACTTCTCACTGGCAGCTGATCTGGAATAAAGCTGAGGAGGGAGAGGGGACTTCAGCCCAGTGTCTGCTGCTCTTTGCTGCTGCAGGCTTGCTGTGGTTTTTTGGTTCCTGAGAGCATGCTATGCAGAACAGTCATCTGCTTCCCACAGAGCCTGGAAATGGCTGTTTGCTCACCTCATACGTACCCTGCCTCTGTCTGCCACAGGCTGAACATGATGCCCTGCTATTCCTGCCTAAATCCCAGCATAAAAATCCACCTTCCAATTTCATTAAGATCCCATCCTCTGCCTCTTCGCAATACTCTTGTCAGCCACTCCCTAAAGCCAGGCAGCGCACTCTGGCCCCGGGACAGCGTGAGTACACAAAGGAATCAGAAACCTAAGCTGTGACCAGTTTTTGAATCCAATGTTTCTTTTATTTCTGTTCAGGTGAATGGAAGTCACAGAGTTAGTACAGTATAATTCACAAATCAATCCCCTGACCGGGCACAGGGCCAAGGGGTGTCAGGCTGCAGTGATCTCGATGGCCTTTGGCAACAGTGACCTGACAGCAGGCTCTAGAGTGGATTTGTTTGTCCTTGGGGAAGAGTTGTGCTTTGGGATCTCCCCTCCCCCTGTTCCTCATCAGCTTGCTGGGGTATGGCAAGAGTGAAATGGCATCACCAGCACAGGGCTGAGCTTGCCACCTCCCAGCCACAGGGGCTATGCTGGCACTGAGGAGGGACTGGGGTCCCTCAGGCTTTGGGAAACAAGGATCCCTTTCCAGAATGCTACGGCAGCCACCTCGAAGGCACTGCTCTGCTCTGAGAGCATTTTGGCTAAAGCCTGTTGGGTTTTGAGAAGGGACTGCAGCAGATTGCTTGGGGCTTGTTATGTCTAGTTTGCAAATGAGAAGGCATGATGAACCACCTGACCAACCAAGCACCCATGAAACCCTAATTCAGACTGATCCGACAATTCAATAAATAACTCCTCGCCTTGGAGAAGGTGGGAAACAAAAATGGAAGGAGGAAAGGATGGTTGGAAGAACACTGCCCCCTCCCCATTCCCTCCTCCAATGTACACACACGCACACACACATGACAAATAAAATAAGGGGTTCAAAAAGTTTTCAGGTGGGTTTGAATTCATCTAGTAAAGGAGGTGTAAAAAACAACCAGCCCACCCCTGCACACTTTTAAAGCATACACAGATGAAGCTGGGTAAAGGTCAGTTGTGACTGCGCCTCTCCCCCCAGCCGCTCAAGGATGGCACTGGTGGGCAGAAGCACCAGCTTAGTGCCCCTTGCTGGCACTGTCTTGAGCTTTTCTGCCCGTGCCTGGAAAAGGAATGTTCCTCCTTCCAATGGCAGCAACATCAGCGGTGTTTAGCAGCAGTGTGGGGTGAGATGTCCTGAGTAGGGCGCGTGAGCTATGTCCTAGCAGCTGTACACCGTCCCCTTGGGTCCTCTCAGCCCAGTAACGGAGCCCACCCAGATCTGGCGCTCAAGGGAGGGGACAGCTCAAAATAAATAGGGCACCAGTTATGTTTTTGGCTGTGGTACTAGAGCCTTGTGATGCGGGAGTGTTTTCCTAACATTTTAGGCCAGTAAAACCCAAAGAATCCTGGCTCTAATGCAAGAGTTTTCTCCCGAAGTTAAAAATGAGACAGAAAGGGGACAAAAGCAGGCAGGCAGGGAGGGACAGGCAGGCCCAGTCCCCTCCTGGCTGAGATCGGAGGCACGTGGAACTGTCACAGTTAGAGCGGGAGAAGGGACAGGGAGGGAGCAGTTAGTGCAAGTTTTCCCACAAACACAAAACTCCTTGGCTTGCTTTTCAGCTAATGACAAGAACACGCAATGGGGTAACGTATCCGAAAAGCAAATCCATTTTCTCCTCGCCTCCTTAGCAAGGCTTCACGGAGCGGGGACAGTCATGCTCCTCCACAGCCTTGGGAAGGGGAGTGCTTTGGTCAGAGTGCCTCACTCCGGGCAGAGGACTGGCATCTCCCCGGGGCAGCAGCTCCAGTGCCTGGGGAAGGAGGATGGGGAGAGGCGAGGGGAGCAGAGGAAGAGAAGTCCCCTTCCTGGCAGGAATCCCAGCTAGCTGCGGGGAGGCCAGGGCAGTTGGGCAGCACATCCCTCCTGCTGCTGGGGTTCCCCTGCTCTAGCTTTTCTCCTTGGGCGACTTGCTCTTGGAGTCATGCTTGTTGCCCAGCAGCTTAAGCACCTTCATGGGCTTGAATTTGCCTTTCTTCTTGCTCTCGGTCTCTGCCTCCTTGTGAAATTCTGGGGTTGCAAACGGAGGTTGTTACTGCAGGATGTTGATGGTTATACACACACACACGCACAACAACAGGGGCAAGAGAGCCATGAATCAAAGCCCTCCACTGCATGCACTTCTGTGCATATCACTTCTGTGATAAAAGGAGTGTACAGCACAACCGTGCCCCAAACTTTAACGGCCCTGCAGGAACAACTCCAGAGTCTACACAGAACAGATTCAACCTCTCCTGCACATCGTTTCATTAATGGCTTGTGCTGCCCCTTGCTGGGGTCAGCAGTGAAAACATAGCTCCAAAGACCTTATCGAATGTTTCTTACCTTTCCTTTTAATCATGGCTTCCAACATTTTATCTTCCTCCTCTTCTCTGAAAGAAAGAATGGGAAAGAGGTCAGCATCCAGCCCTGAAAACAGCTGCTCTATTGTTTGAGGCTAGAGAACCTCCTACTTCTAACCCATGGAGGGGCAGATCCATCACTGTCTTGTGAGCATTTGGTACCAGCAGGATAAATCTGACGTGCTGCATGTACTGCCCTGTCTTTCCTACACAAAGCATTCAAACAGACAAGGATGAGGAAGCCTAGGAAAGACATCAGCAACAGGGACATCTTGGGACACCCCCACAGGCTGCTCACATGGCACTCAGTCAGACAGGCAGTGCTTTAATCCTTCCCTCAGCCACCTCAGTCCCCACTCACCTCTGGCGGTCCTCATCCAGGCAGTTCACAATGGCGTTCCTCTGCTCAATGATGGTCACCAGCTCCTGCATCAGCACCTTCTCCCTCCCTCGGTCCTCCTCAGTCCAGTCCTTCTCTACCCAGAGAAACCCCAAGGAAGGAAAGGCATTTAAATGGCTGAAGGAGCTCTGAAATTCAGAGCTTTGGGGCAGAGATCTCCTAGCATGATCTCCTGATACCCTGCCACGTTGCAAGGCCGGTTGGGCTAGCGGTGTTACGTAGGAGAACACTGTAGGCACCATCCCATGGGGATGAAAGAAGCACATCCTTGCACAAGCCTGGGACATGCAATGAGATGGGACAGTAGCTCTAGAGCCAGCTGATAGCACTGGCATCCCTACAGATCTATCTCTTTCCACCTGATGCCCACGTAAACAGGGAAGATGATGCCCAGGGGTAAACCAGAGGTAACTGCATCCAGAGTAATGCTTTACCTGGCTTGTTGAGGAGGCAACGCAGTTCGTACTCCACATCTGACTGCCGCTGCTCCAGGTTCTGCTGCTTGAAGCTGCAAGGGAAGGGGGCACTATTGAAAGCAACTGCCAGGCTGCAGAGAGGCAGAACATCATCCCAAAGCACAGGGTGAGCTTGGAAAAAAACACCCAGATGCTAATCTTCTCCTATATAGCCAGGAAGTCAAGCACTAGCAAGGACTCAAGGCCTTCCTCGAAGAGATGCTGCAGGGGCTTTGGTCACTTGCAGTGGGTCAGTTCTGAGTGTTTGGATAGAATTGTCTGCTTGCCCTTCTCCCGTCCCTTCTCCAGGCAAGGAGGCCGTGTCAGGCTCTCTCCTGGAAACATCAGGAGGGCTGGCACAGGGCTCCCTGCAAGAACATTGGTACCTCCCCACACACTTGCACACACTTACATGTAGATGAGCTCTGATTCATGGCGCACTAGCATGTGCTTCTCATGGATGAGCTTGAACCAGTCCACAAGCAGGCTGTCCTCGGGGCTGTCTGCCAAGCAAAGGGACAATTCAGAGCCACCCCCAGCCCTGCAGGATCCCAACACCCTGCAGCAGGCTGGGCTCCGGCCCAGAAGAGGGGCACTGGGCTAGAGCCAACCCGATGTGAGCCTCTTCCTGAGCCCTTGAGAGACCTCATCTCTTCTCCCACTGTTTTCACTCTAGGGAGATCTCCATGTCCAGGGTATGGCTGTGACCATTCCTGGAGCCCAGCACAGCCCCTTGTGCTCTTCCAAATCCAGCATCAGTAGGGAGGAAGTCACTGCTTCTACCTCCTTGGCTGAACACAGTGCAACCCAAGGGTCCATCCCACCCCACATACCATTCTCAGCACTGCGAAGTTTTTCCTCCAAGGCCACCCCACGGTGCTCCAGCTGGTCCAGCTGGTGCTCGATGGCATCCATCTGCCCATAGATGTCTTCCTCAGGGATGTACTGATCTGTCTGCACCTGCCAAACCACAAGGCAGAGAATTCCATTATCACCCACCTCCAGTTTCGAGTGGTAACCCAAAGGCTGATCAACACTAACGAGGACAGGGGGACAACAGAACACTCCACCTAGGCATGGATCCAAGATCTCCACCCCACTCAAAGGGAGACCATGGTGCTGCCATCAACAGGGTTTAGCCTAGACACAATCCTACCCACCCAACCACATGCTGCAACCCTACCCATACATGCATCAGCGGGGTGCACGAACACAGCTATGGCCCTGGGAGATAGCAAAAAGCTGGCCTTCTCCCCCCTGCTCCCAAAAAACCTTTTACCTTGCGTTTGATCAGTGGGAAGCCGTGACCTGGTGCAGGAGGACGCACTGGTTTGGAGCCCTTGGGAGGTTTCTTTGCAGAGGGGGAGGCAGCAGGTGATGGCTTTCGGTTGAAGGGGTTCTCTTTACAGGAAGACTGCAGTGGGGGGAACAAAAAGAGATAAGTGAGGGTCCAGGAAAGGGAAGGAATATAGCATCCCAGTGGCTGGGACTGAGCAGACAGGGCAGCCCTGGGATTTGCCCTGCCCCACATCCTCCTAAAAGGAGGAACACAGCACTCATCTCCACCAGCAGCCTAGCCGTGGGGCAAAAATCAGTTCCTCTTTGTCACTGGTTCCCCAGCATCTCCCTGGGGAAGAAGCATGCTAAATTATTTTCCTCTATGGTTCCCTTCCTATTTGCTCTGACCACATGACATCCTGCCTCTTCTCTAGCACATGGGGCAGGCAGAGTATGAGCAGAGCCACCATTTAGGAAGCACATGCCTGAGGCTTGCTTTCAGGGGGTCACACACCAAACCTACCAAAGGGACAAGCCTGGACATCACTCCACTGTGACTGGGTGATGGGGAAGAAGAGCCCCCTGATCTGGATGAGAGGAAGGTCACCATCTCACCTTCAACTGTGGCTTGGGTGAGGCAGGCGTCTTAGGGCTCCCAGCACCCCCATCTGAAGCCAAGAGGATGGGTGTAGGGCTAGCCCCAGCTGGAGGCTTTGGGGGCTGCCCTGCCAGGGGAGACGCTCCGGCTGCCATGCAGGGTGCTGGGCTGCGCCTCCCCGCTGAAGCTGGCCAGCTCGCTGGAGGAGGAGAAGGAGGAGTTGGTGGAGAGGCTGGCTGGGACAGCAGGGCTCTCGCTGGAGGAGACGCTGGCCAGCGGCATGTCAGTGCTAGAGGTCTTGGTGGCTGTCGGCGTGTGGACAGTGGGCTCGGAGGAACTTTTGGGCACCGAGGCCTCGTCAGTGTCACCCAGCACCTTGGCTGAACTCTCAGAGTTGATGCTCTCAAGGCTGAGGGCTGGAGAGGGGGTGGAGGATGATGGTTCAGAGTGTGACAGCCTGGAGATGGGGTGGTGGGCTGCAAAGCAAAGGGAGAGCTCAGGGAGGAACAGGGGGGCAGGCAGGGGAGGAGAGTGGTATGTACTGGAGGCATGGGCGAGTGCAAAGGGAACCGGTGCTGGTCTTCAGAGCAGAGGGAAGGGACCCTTCCAACCCTTGCACAAAGGGCTCGCATGCAAATACTGTGTTCCAGTGGGTAAAGAGCACACAGCTAACACAAGTCCCAGCACAACCATCACTGCATAAAAGCCTGGCCCGCCAGGGTGATGCAGAGGTGCCTGGGAAAGGGGGCCTCCAGGAGACTGCACAGGGAGCTGTGGAGGGGAGAAAAGGGAGCAGGGGGAAGCTCACCTAGTGGGGAAGCACTTGGGGCTCGTGGAGCTGGCCGCTTCTTTGTCTTCGGGCTGCTGGTGGGAGTGATGCCATACCAGGGGTGGAGAGGCCTGGCAGCAGCCTCGCTCTGTTCCTGCTCGGGTGTGCTCTTTTGGGTGGCAGCGCTCTCCTCTTCTTCCTCGTCATCCTCCTCAAAGGGGTTGTACGGTTTGGGCTCTGTGGCATCAGGCCTGCTCTCCTCACTCCTGGCTTTCCCCACATCCTCCCCATCTTCCTCCTCTGGAGTCCTAGTCGGAGTCTCCTGACTGCTGCCCGGAGGAGGGGGAGCTGGCTTCTTCTTGGGCTCTGCCTGCACCAAGGCCATCCATGGTGGGTCCTTGGCTCTTGCAGCAGCTCCAGCTCTGGGAGAAGAGAAAGAGAGACTTGAGATGGCAAGGAGCAGAGACAAGCTGCGATGGTGAAGCACAGGAGGGGGACTTAGCCCTCAGGGGAAAGGATGGTTGGAGCAGTTTGTCTCCCATGCAGAAGCAGCTTTCTCATCCAAGGCTGGCCCTAGTCTTCCCCAGATACAAAGGGTCTCATTCCCTGCAGGGTAACCTATGGGACCAAGGGAAGCACAGCCTGTCTGACTTTCCCGCTTGGCCCAGTGTTTTGGTTTCCAAATAGCAGCCTCTATGGGCTGAGCTTTATGGGCACAGCTGTTCTTCCCTTCCCAACACTGCTCCTACACTCAACTTGCTCCCCAGGCTGTGGATGGAGTGGGAGCTGAGATCAGACACCTTTCCTCCTACATTTCAGAGGGCTGTTTGTCACCTCTGAGCATCCCAGGGATGGAGTCCTCCATGCTAACTCCCGTGGCTGGAAGCACTGCTGCTCCTCTGGGCAGGCACAGCCCACAGCAAGCCCACACCATGGCTCAGTGAGTCACTGCTCACCAGGAAAGCAGCCATCACTTGCCACGTGCACCCACTCCTTGGCTGTAGCAGATGTGGGGTGCTTGTGCAACCTCTGTCCCAAGAGCAGGCAAGAATGAATGAGCACCACTGTGCTCCTGGGTAAGAGACCAGGAGGTGCAAAGGTTGCAGCCAGGCACTCACAGCATCCCTGCACTGGACCTTTCCCACAACAAACCCTCCCCGGGGCAGACAAGTATCTCCTTCTCAGCACCCACAAGCAGAACCACTTAAGAAAGCCCTTGGCACTCTGCATGTGTCCCAAATTCTCTACAAATCCTAAGAGACAACAGCCCTGGGAGGTATGGACAAACACTGTCAGCCTGACTGTGCTGGGCTGGTACCCATTAGGTAAGCGAAAGGACCTGATCATAGCCTACATCCTCGTAAAAGCAGGGGCTGACGGAGGTGAGACAGGAGACCACAGCTGAGGTGTCCCTGTAGCCCCACCTTGCTATAGGCTTTTGTATGTGATCTGCGAACAGCAGGACGTACCGATCAGAGGAGCATGGTCTCCCTCGGGGTTTTGGGACAGGAGGGCTGGGTTCAGGTACCCTACCTAGAAAGACATCGGGTTAGACTGTCACAACACCAAAAGGACATAAAGAAAGAGGTTAAATCAATATGAGGCACCTCTCACACATCTCCCCATGGGAGATTCCCACTCTCTGAAGAACTCATGGCATTTCTCCCACTATCAGTGCAGTCAGTCAAGTCAACCCCAAACATCCCCTTTGCCTTTTTCTCCCCAGCCTACTCCAGGAGCTGCACCTGGAGAACTGACATGCCCCTCTGTCCCCATACCTGCAAACTGCTCGAGGACTGCCACTCCCCTCCACACTGAGTGCATCCCCTGGAGAAACATATGGGAGCAGGCAGGCATGAAACCTGCGTGCTCTCCCTGCTATAGGGATGGCTGGCAATCGAAGCCTTGGTGTCTAAGCCTGAGATTTACGTGGAGGCAGAAAGGTGCCGGGCTGCAGTGGAGGAGTGAAACTCACCACACCTCAGCTGCTAGAGAGCTGAAGGCAACTCCTGCCACCACCGTGTTCTCTTACCATTCACCATGCGAGGCACACACTCGCTGCCCTCGCTCTGCAGAGTGGACCTGGGCCGAGGGACAGGGTGAGAGGTAGGAGGGGAGAGGGCTGAGGCATCGGTGGCCCTCCTCGGGGCAGGGGTGGGCCGCGTGTCTCTGAGCCGTCCTTCCAGTGAGCTGGCTTTGTCCTGGGGGAGCGCTGTGGGCTTGCTGGGAAGGGGAGGTCTGGGCGGAGTCTGGGAGACCTGAGCAGGGAGCATCACTGTCTCTGCTTTGCTGGCTGTGCTGTCCTTCGCCGCCGGGCTAGCTAGCCCCTCTGCAGGCACATGGGTCTCTGCCGTGCTCTCCAGGGAGTCACCATCGCTCTTCCCCACCTCTGTTCCCATGGGAAAGCCGTCCTCACTCACGCTGCCAGCCCCAGTTTCAGTTCTTAGCTCTGGCGACTGTTGGTCTGGGCTGGGCCTCCTCTCCGCCTTCCCACTCATGGCCAATTTACCACGATGTTGTGTGCAGACAAAAGTCCCTGCCTCTGACCCAGGCTTGTATGACCCCGGGAGCAGCGTGCTGGAGCACTCCTTACACCTGCCAATGAGAAGAGAGAGGTCTGTGAGATGGGGGGCACCATCCTGCCCCTCAGGGAAGGCAACGCTCCTGGGATGTGAAGTTAGTTCTTGCCCTGCTACTAAATCCTAGTGCAGTCGTGGGGAAGTCATTCAGGAAAGGGAAGGAACAGAGAAATGTCACCATGACACTGTATGAACCCATGGGGAGTTCTCAACTCACATACTGTGCACATTTGGGTTCCTGCTTCAGCTCAGAAAGGATTTAACAGATATGGAAGGGCAGCATTAGGATATGGCATCGTTTCCAGACTTGGAAAAGTAGAAACCCAGTTTTCCTGGAAAAGATGTAGCTGGTGCTGAACTTGGAGACAGAACTACAAGATCACATGGCCCTGGGAGGGGGGGAGGATTCAACCATTCATGAAACAGGGAGTATCAACTGGAATTACAGAGCAGCTGGTTCAGAATCAGCACAGGGAGGCTGCGGGGCTACCTTGTAGGGTCCTGGTTTGGTCTCACATTCACCATGCTGACCATGGACCCCACCAGGATCACGGCATTTGGCTGGAAGCATGAGGGAATAATGCAGTAGGGTTGTTCTTATACTCTGCCTTGCCTCTTGAAACCAGGCTAATAGCTTCCCTGTCCTTCACTGTCTGGCACACCTCCTTGGATCATCCACTCTTTCACTACTGAGCCTTTGAATCCTTCCCAGTGAAACCCTCCAAGCGCAAGCGTAATACCCAGTTCTGGCAACCAAGTCAGCCCTTTTCCACCTGGGGAGGGAGGTGGATAACATCCATGAAAGAGAGACAAGGGTAAGGGGCTGATCAAGCACTCCCATGAAAACCAAGCTTGTTCATTCTTGTCTGAATGCCTGCTGCTTGCAGCAGCTGGCTACCCTACCCTGCAATCAGATGATTTTGGTGAGGAATTCTGCTCTGGGTGCCCTGTTGACTGGGATTTCCTTTGAAATCTAGAGCAGAAGTGTGAGGACACAGGAGCTCTAAAGAAGGGGTATGATGAAACAAAGAGGTGGCAAGTTCAGACAAAGGGAGAAAGAGGTTTGTTTTGGTTTTATCTCTGTCAACCCACAGAAAACACTGCCACACGACATTTCCAACCAAGCAGCACCCATGAATCAGCAGGGGTGGGGATGCGTGTGTGTGGAACAAGAAAAGCAGAAAAGCATAGAGAGGCAGAACACTTGCAGGGATCTTACTGATCAGTCTGAAGGGTTATGAGCTGTGCAAGGCAGACAGGACACCTCTCCTATTCTTGGCCATGAGTGATGCTGCACCTGCACTTCAAAGCTCCTGCTTTTGTCCCGGCTGCAGACGGGAAGCTTGGTGGGCCCCAGCTCAGCTCCCCTCCTTTGACACTGCTTTCTATGACACATCCTGGCTGGCTTAGGCAGGTGAATGAGGCCTCCTGTATCTTCCCAGTGGTTCAGTATTTCTGTCCTCAGGTGCCAGCTGTCCACTTGCCAATTCATGTCCCATAGCCCACATGAGAGATCTCATCCCTTCATCATCAGAGCAGGTAAAGCAAAGTGAAATGACTTCACAGACGCTGCAGGTAAGGACCTGCACCTAGGGAGTAACCACAGAGCTGCTGACGTCTAATCCCTCATTCCTCAGTTTGGTAACAGTCTGCAGCTCTCCACATGCTCCTCTGAGAGCTTGGCACCACCCCAGGGAACGTGTGAGCCTGTATATCCAGTTGAGGATGTGGAGTGTAGGTAGAAGGAGGTCTGTAGCATGATGTCCTGGCTTAGACCTCACTGAAAATTGGTGGTGGAAGTTCTGGGTAGGCAGGTGGTAAAGAGGCAAAGTATCCTGGTTTATGGAAGTGGGAGAAGCACAAAGGGCCTGGGTCCCAAGTCAGTGAAGTGGGAAAGTGCAAGAGAGCAGGGGAGGCAAGCAGCACAGAGGTGGATACAACGGACCACTCAGACCACTGGGACAGGGGGCTGGCAGGCAAACAGACTCTCTCCAGTATCATCTCAGGCACTGCCATTGATGTTCCATGTTCCCCAAGGACCACAGCACACACGAAGATAGGATGCAGGTGGCCACAGACCTCCAGTTTGCCGAGAAGAGTGTCCAACCCCTCCAGGCCTGGCCATGACATACCTAAAGCACTGGCGGTGGTAGAGCTTGCCCTCAGCCAGGTAGCGCTGGACCAGATGGACGTGCTGCTGGCAGGCTGTGCAGGTGCTGCTGAGCGTGGTGCGCTGGGACCGCTCCAGCGGGTCCGAGGGGGCATCGTCCTGAGACACACAACGCATGGGGAGCTCAGGATGGGAGCTATGAGCTGCTCCTCCAGAGCAGCTGTTCCTAAGCAAGGCCCATGGCTGTGTGTTTGTGGTACAGTCCGACCTCAGGGTCTGACAACGCAGAGAACAGCTGCCCCTGAATCCAGGCACAGGCAGGCTGCCTCTTCCCAAATTAGAAGGAGCCACTCCAAAAAGTGCCTTGCCCCTATCCAGGGCTGAAGGGCTGTGGAAGAGACTAGTCTAAACCCCAGGTGGCAGCAGGGACCTGGAAGAGGAAGACCTTCTTTTTGGAAAATATACCATCCCAGACATCTGCTAAAACCTGAAATAAAGGGCTGAGAAAGAAAAAGACATCTTTTCTCTCTTCTAATCCCATATTCCTGCTCTTTACTCATCCACAGGATTATCGACCCATAGGAAGGAGAGTGCTTGTACCCGAGTGGCTCAAGGAACCGTCTGGCACCAATCTGCCCAGCCTCTTGACTGCTATGGACAAATTCCAGTCCACTGATTCCTAGAGAGAAATTACTCTCTCAGCTGAGTCCTCCAAGGCACCAAAATCCCAAACACCCCTCCCACCCCAAAATACACAGATAGCCCCCTACAAAGATCCATCCCACTGCAACAGGCTCTCTCTTGTCTCCTCACCTACAGCACAGGGAGCATCACTGCCTCAGGCTGGCTTTGAACTGAGAAATTAGGTACCTGTGGAGTTGAGGGACTCCCGACTGCAGCCAAGGGCTTCTTGTGGGACAGCAGAGGAGGAGAAGAGTCAGCAGCTGGGCGCTTCATAGGCGGAGGGACGCTGGCTGGAGGCAGAAGGCAAAGGAGGATCAGGCATGGAAAGGAGCAGTGACTCACACCGCCCATGGAGGGGAAGGGGAGGGGGAAAGAAAAATATCATCAAGCCTTGTGACATAGCCCAGGACTTGCCACTCCCAACACTTCGAAGCCTATTTTAGGTGGAAGAGACAAACATCGTCTAATAATGGGTCAGCTGCAAGGCTGCCAGAGAGGCTGGCCCTGCTGTGGATCCTCCTCTGTGGACCAGGGATATCAGTCTCTCACTGTGATTTTATTTACTTATCAAATGCTGCTTTGCTTCCTCATAACCAACTCCCTAAGCAAAGCTTAAAGCCCAGAGCACCTCGGGTAGCTGCTGTTGTGTTGTTGTGACTCAATGGGCCCCAGGGCTTACAGGCTGTCAGCACATCTGCAAGCATCTCTTGCCCATCAGGGCTGGCACTCACACACCAGTCCCCAGTGGGAGTTCCCTCCTCCTTGGCTGAAGGCCAGCATCCCCAGAGAAGTACATGCACATAGAAGAGATTTATCTGATGTTGTGGCTCAAAAGCAGAGCAGAGGAGACCTGGAGCCCTTGTCTCCACCCAGGAGGGATGCCCTGGAAGAAGTGTCTCAGAGCAAGACTCAAATCAGGTTGCAGTTGCAAGAACGGATGAGCTAATCAGAGACACTCAACCCTGGTTCCCCTCCCTCCATCCTCCGGTCACTTCATGCTTACAGATGTGATAAAACTTGGCTGTGATAGGCAGGTTGCCTACCAAGCTTTTTTGTATTTTAGTGAGTTAAAGCAGATCACAAAGGGGTCTGATGAGCACCAGGGGCGGTGGCGCAGCCCAATGGATTGCAGAGGGTGGATTAACAAGGCATTCCTCTTTTGGCAGCCTGAGCTGTTAAATCACTCCCCACCTCTTGTGAAACCTCGCCCTACTCTACACCTGTTCCAGGCCTTCCTTACTGGCACCAGCAAGATCCAGGAGGGGCGGGTACTACCTGCTCCTCTCTCAATCCCCATAAACACACACAGCTCCCATTTGCCATAGGAAGAAGGAAGCACAAGGTAACAATGGGTTTCCTGTACTCAAGTAGGGGCAAACTGGAAGCCAGAGGGGTAGGAGAGCACTCACCTTGGCTGGGGTTGTTGAAATGGTTGTAATACTGAGACACGTAAGTCATGATGCTAAGGCAGTCAGGGACTTTCATGGAGACCATGTCATTGGGATCTAGCAAGGCTGGGATGCCCAGTTCCCGCTCTGCCAATTCAAAGGCCTGCAGAAACAGCAGAGATATGTGTTGAGGAGAGAAAAACTGATGCTCTCTGAAAAATAACAGATAAATCAAGTTGGAAGGGCTCTGGGAAGGTTAAGGTAGTAAGCCTATGGTATGTCTGATGGATCAAGGATCACAGACATGCCACTTAACTGGAAAGGGAGCAACAGAAGCAAGGGAATAAGTTGCTGCAGCTGCCCTTTCCTGCAAAGCATTTCAGCTGCCTGTGCCCCTGCAGCTCCCACATGAAGGGCCCTGGCATTTGGCTGCTGCACTGGGACAGGGAGAATAATTTTCAGGAAGTCTCAGTTTTCATTGGAAAAAAACCCCAAAACAGTGTTTCTTCAGTCCATGAACATGGCACACCACCAGTGCCCTCATGCAGGAGGCCAGCAGAGCCTTGGCCGGCACTATGAAGGGCCCAGGGCTGGCAAATACTTCCAGTGACACAGCCACACACCAGCTCTACTGAGGAGTGTTCCCAGCCATTCCAAATGCTCACCCCACAGAAACACCAACTCTGCCCAACCTTTCATGCTCTGGGGTGCCACATCTTTCCCTCTCACAGTTAACACAGCCATTCTGGCTCAACAGCTTGCCATACACAAGCCACTTCAGGACTTTTCTATCTCTCAGCAAGTAGAAATGAAAAAGACATTTAGACAAGAAGCACACAGCTCCTACAAGTATGTATAGGGATACTTGAAAGAAAGGTGTGAAGGAGGAAAATAGCTGTTTGAGAGCTCTCCACTTAGCAGTGCATGGATAACTGGCTGTATGCTGGCCATCCTGCTGCTGTGCCAAGGGCAGGGTACCCACACTGATCTCCAAGGGAGGGGGCACGTGAGACTACAGCAGGGACTGAAGAGAAAGCAAGCCAGGAGAGGATGGGAGTGGTGTGGGCACTGAGTTGTGAGGTACCAGGTGCAGGGTGTGCATAAAGACCAAAGATGCCTGGTCTCTGGGGCACATGGTTCTGTGCAGGGTGTGAGATCTAAAGAAAAGGAACAGAAATAAATGAAAATGGGCATTTGCAGGAACTGAGGATATAAAACATCCTCTGTGGACACCCAGCTCTGCTCAGCCTGACTTTAAGCTGGTTCTCTGGACTAAGCCTTGCTGAACATGAGGCTGCAAGCAGCAAGGAGAGACCCCAGCTTAGGGGTCACTAACAGGACAAGAAACTCACTGCATGTCTCTTGAATGGGAAAAGATAGATGTTAATAGCTGAAAGGGACCAACTGGTCTAGGAAAGGCCAGATCCAATTGGAGAGTCCTAATCCTGAAACCCAAAATGACCTAGTTCAATTCATTTTGGGAAGGTGATGGCCCAAGTCTCTCCATGGACTAATTAGATGGAGCCTGCAGCAAATAGGTCTTTCAGCAAAAAAATCCCAAGGCTCTGTCCTACTACTAGGCCTTGGACCTGGTCATCTCCCCATTCCCCACTGCCTGCTTGTGCTTTCGGCTTCAGCTGTCCCAAGCAGGAGGGGAACACTGCAGACCAGCCTAGGTCCAGCATGACCTTCCTCTCTGTTTATGCCTGGAGTAAAACTAGCTTCCTGCTTCCATTCCCTGCAAGTCTGGAACAGCTGAGGTCAAGAAGATGTTGCACCATTTAATCTTCACCTGAGATGTTGTCTTAGCAACTATCAGGATAACGATCTTATCTTCTCTGCAGTACAGGCCGGAAGCTGATGTTTCACATTCCCTTATGTTTCCACAGAAGCTCCTGCCTGTTTCTTACAAGCACAGATTTATTTCTTTCCCCTACACCCTCACCACTGTCACAAAGTCCTCCCACACTCCATGACCTCATTCTCACGTCCCTTCTTCCCTCCACACACTGCATAACGGGGACTTACCAAGCGGTTATTCTCATAGACATCATCCTTGGAGAGAGAATCAAAATCTCTGAAATGACAAAGCACAAAAAAGCCACATGAGGTGCAGAGGAAAAGTGCCCCAATGCCACCACACGCAGGTTCTCGGGACAGCCAACCTTACAACTCAACATGCAAGACCCTAGATAAACAAAACCTTGGCAAAGCAGAACTTCAGGTTGTAAAGGGAAAAAGAAACCAAAGGGAAATCACAAGTAAAAAGAGAAAGCAAGTCCCAGATGGGTGGTGACCAGGAAATTAAAATGTCATTCTGGTCTCTCTTTACCCACTTCTTCAGCCCTCACAATTAAAAGCTGCAGAAACACCAGGGTCACGTTCCGATGAGCATCATGCACTGCTACAGTGAAAGGTACATATACCAAGTCACCCCAAATTTGCCCCTCCCAGGCCACAGGCACAACAGCAGGAGGAGGATGGGGAAGCAGATTGCCTCAGCTCAAGAGAAAGAACTGCCTGCACTAGATGTCTCCCTTTTACAAGGCTCCTTAGACAAAGGTCTTAAACTGCACTCTCTCCTTACTTGCTCCCCAACACTCTCAATATGCAGCAAACTGCCCGTGGCCACAGCCTTTTCAGCAAGACATCTTGCTGAATGCAAGGTGCTCTGGGCAGAGAGGAACCTTGAAGTTCCCAACCCAGGCACGTTGTGGCATCTCTTGATCCCCTGGATCTGTTCAGGGGATCGAGTCAGCCTGGCCACAGGGATCAATCAGCTACCTTCATCAGAGGAGCAGAGGGTAGCAGGTTAAAGCAATCTGCAGGTTTTCAACAGAGGAGGAGAAACACAGGAGGGAGTTAGTTATGCCTTCTGCATGTGTGTGTGGGTATAATGTGTGAAAACAGCATCACACTAAACTGATCACAGCCCCTTCCTGCCAAGGATCTCAGCTTTGTTACCAAAAAAACCTCATGCAGCAGCTTGGTGTGCCTGCAAGCTGGATTCACAGAGGAACACACAGCCCAGAGAGGTTTAAGGTCAGGCAAAGCCACCCTAAATAGCTCAAAGAGAGGTGCCAAAGCTTGGGAGACCAACCCAGAAAGACGATTCAGATTCAGGTAGGGAATATATCCCTCACCCCAACAGTGGGAAGCAGAAATTGAGTGAGGCTATGAATCGTCATCCATGTACCCGCAGAGAAGGGCTGTGGGAGCCTCTCTTCCTCCATTCCCCTTTGGATCTTATTGCCTTTTCCTGTAACCCCAACTCAGCCTGCCCTGGCACTGCACCCTTGTTGAAGCCCCCCATGTGCCTTTCCCAGCACCGCAGAGGAAGCCCGTGATGAGCTCAGGAAGATTTCCCAGCTGCCTGCAGCACCATAAAACTACACTTCCTCCATTCAAAGAGGCTGATGGTGCGTTTCCTCCCAGATAAATGAAACTGCAGCCACTCACTGCTGCGGGAGCGGATGCGGTGGACAGGCAGAAGAAGGGCTGGATGTTCAGCTCTGTGTTAGGCACCTTTCTGACAGCTCATGCAAATATGTGCACAGAACGCAGCCTCTTCAACATACCACAACTTTTCCCTTTTTACACACTCGTGAGAAAAGGCTTCAAGCTGCAGCCTTTGCTTTGATGTGAAAACTAGTGCCTTCTTTATTTTTATGACTAGTTTCCACTAGGAGATGTTTTTTTCCCTACGTCCTTTTTTATTCCCTAGAGAACTCCTTTAACCTTGCTGCATTTTTTGTATGTTTGTTGGTTTGGTTTTGTGGCGTTTTTTTACCTTTTAAAGAAAATACCAGCTTGGGAACACAGGAGAAGTGATGACAGCAAAGTTATATATCAACTGCCCTCTAAACATTCATGACCTTCATTCTGAATACCTTCACTTTCAGCATAGGGGAGTGGTACAGCTGGAAGCTTGAAGACTCCTTGGTGGCCTGGGCTGAGAGAATATTTCTTGACAGATGAAACATCATGTCCATTCCACTCTGCCCCAGCAAACTAAAGCTGTTTTAGCAAACCAAGACAAATCTGCCTGGGAAAGTAGATGCCAGCGGAGAGGATGTGAAGCTCAAAAGGTAATGTGGGGGGCGGGGGGGGCTACCAAGCAGCAGGGGAATAGAAGTTTTCCACTAACATAGGATTGCAAACTCTCATCTTTCACCCGACATACTAAAGTCCATCAGTACGAGGCCTGAGGGATCACAGTGTATTCAGTTCCTCTCTGCTGCATTTCCCGTCTCCCCCTCCAAACAGGCTAAGCAGGACTGTGATCTCCATCACTCCCAACGTGAGCACTCCCACATGGTGCTCTGTCGCGTGACACCCCTGCAGCTCTGGGCATGTTCCCTGTACCAACATGCAAGGAGCATGGCTTCTCAGGCATGGGGGAAAGTCACCCCAGACGTACCCCTTCCCTCCACATGTGGATGTGTCACATTATGTCCTTGCCCTGATCTCAGAAGCCTTTCATCCAGCCCTGCTCAAGCTCCTCTCCTGACAACATATCAGTCCCAGGGACTGGATGTAAGAATAGACAAGAATCCGGCTGTCCCAGTTGAACAACTGTCTTGACTCAGCAAAGCCCAGCATTGTAGCATACCCTAGAGTAATATTTCCATGCAAATAACATCCCAAGCGCTTACCTAATTAGATACATGCAGAGCCACTAAGCACTCTGGGGTTTCAGGCAGCTGCCAGGGAGCACAGCAGACCCAGGGAAGGGGGAAGGGTGTGCTTTTACAGCTAAAACCAGAACTAATTCCTGGATTCCTCAAATATAAATCATGAGCACTTTAACGGCAGTGCCACATAATAGGCCCTTCAGCTTTCCAGGTCTTGCAGGGAAACACAGGCAGTACTTGGGAAGGAACAAATGAGATTTGTGATTCAGCCTGTAACTAAACCCACAGCTCCAGGGACACAAACCAGCACGGCTCTCATCTCTTTTCCTCAAGCCTCCATCTCTTTCAGCACTTGAAAGGCACGTGCCATGTTCTCTCAGACTTCTCAGCCCTGAATGCCAAGAACATTTCCATGAGCTCCAGGGAGGCTGCACAGCTTGGGACGCTGAAAGATGCTTTCTGCCTCACTAAGCTGCAGTAAATGCCTTGTAAACACTCATTTAATGCTTCAGATTTCTTGAGCACTGAGCAAACAAACTTATTAATCCCCACAGTCCACTGTCAGGTTGGCCTGGATGATCCCAGCTTAAATGACAAGGGAAAAAGAAGAGATTGAATGTCTCACCTAAAGATCACACAGCCAGCAGCTCAGTCAGAGGCTAAATCCAGGTTTCACATTTCCCTGATTGGAAGAGTGAGGTAGTGAAACCAAGTGAGGTGTGTACAGGAGCAGAGCTCAACTTTCAACTTCATGGTTCAACACGCAGGTTATGCACCTCATCCTTGGTGCTCAGTTCAAGACACCTCTAGCTAGATTCAGTAGACACTGAACACATCCAGCCTACTTCTTTCAAAAAATCCCAAACTCCTTGGTGTTTCCAAGAGCTCTGCAGGAGCTGCTCTAAAGCTCTCCACAAGAGCATCCCTCTGACACCACATGCTTTACCCCAAGATGATTGTGTTCAAATCAGAGGTCACACAGAAGACTGCCCTCAGCATCACTTACCCACACGGTCTTTCACAACAGCCTCTTCCCCAACGTGTCACATACCAGCACAGCAGCCAAACGGGGGCAGCTGGGCAGGGTCAAACAACCGGGACACATCAACAGCCACCACAGCAGCAAAAGAAAGCCTGGAGGATCAGGGTGCCAGAGAAGTGGTGCCACACAGGTAGAGAGCTCCAGCCCAGCTCCTGTGCGGATGCGCTCATTCCTCCCCTCTGTCACCCAAGGGAAAGCCAGCAGGAAGCAGGGAAGGCTGAAGTTCCGCACTCAGCTGCTCCGGGGGGCAGCATGGCCATCTCACATGGGCCAGGAGAGCCCCGCAAAAAGGAAGACCACACGAGGTCAGAAATGTACTCACATATCCCTGCCAAGTCCCATTACCGGGCTGACTAAAAGCACTTTAGAAGAAAGAAGGGCAATCACTTTTCCTCTGCAGTCAGATTTACTGTCTCTGATCTGATCTACCCACTTCCAAATTGGGACAGGCTGAAGCAGCTGGAATCAGATGAAATGATGCTGCTCTCCAGCCTACCCTCTGAAAATCCTTCGACAGCATGCCATGTCCTTGTAAGGCCCTGGGCTTTGTCTCTACAATACAGCAGAGGACCTGTGAAGTTAGGACATCAGTTAGGACATCTGCCAGGAGCAGATTTAAGCCCACTGACAACTTAAGAGCAGCGGCTGCTGCCTAATGGGATGGTAAATATGATTAATGTGAAAGCATCAGGTGGTTTTAGTGGTGTTTATCGCAAGCTTTCGCTGAAAAGCTTTTTAGTTCCCTGTTAGTGTGTCACTTACATTAAAGAAATCATTCAGAAACACACTAATTGAAAGTGCTTCTGTCCTTAATTTGCCTCTTCCCCTCCAGCAGCTAGTCAAAGCAAGCCCCAACCCAGGAGCTGTTGGGACACAAGAGCAAGCAGCTCCCTCAAGACCCAGAGCGATGCAAAGCCATCATACATTTCACCTCTTGGTGGTTCCTGAATGCCACACTGAGGGTTTTGTGGCAACCACCTGAAACACAGCAGGCAGCACTTTGGTTTATAGCCTATCTGTTCAGCTTCTGCTTTTAAGACCAGAGACCTCTTTTTACCCTCTTGTGGACACTGCAGCTCTTCAGCACAGTCATTGTCAACCCTCTGCCTGATAGAGGTTGCTGCTGTGACAAAAGGCCACCCCCAGGGGCAACTCAGAAAGAAGGATTTGGTCAGTTCAGGCAACCTCAGAGGAAGAGCCACCAGTCCTGGAGCAGAACGTGACAGGGGACACACCACCAGGCTCTGCTGACGGGTGAGGAGTGCAGGTATGCCAGAGGCAAGGCAAAGTGGGGTAATGCCTACCTGCACTGCAAGGGCTACCAAAGACTGGAGCAGACAGGAGGCGGGTCCCCAGCAGTTGCTGGGGCACGCATGGTTATGGCAGCAGGTCAGGGCAGAT